AGGTTGTTGGCTCGGCTTTGCTTTTCTAACAGGTTTCCAGATGTTTGTGTGTGAAAGCGTATACGCAAGCGGCCGTGCCGAGAAAGAAGTTCATCCTTCCGCCCCAGAATTGGCTTCAGTTCCTTTTTATCAAGATCCTCCAGAATCCAGCGTCCCCCGCAAATAAGGGGAAACCTAGCGCCAAATCAAATAATCCAGCAAGTTGCGTGGTTGATTGACTACCTTTTGGCGAGAGAGATGCACCAGTCCAGTCGCGTGTGTAACACCTCAGTGCCCTCAGCCACTCAGCCACTCAGCCACCTAGGTACCTCGTCTGTACATCATTTAGGTAATACTTCAAGCTATGGAAGCTCACGAGACTGGACTGTTGAGCACTCGACACCTTTGGAGAAGAGTGCCCGTACCAATCTGTAGGTATCTCAAAATTACAGGGCCAATGTGCTGGAAGCTGGCGAATCTCATCGAGCTACGACTACATAGGTATTCGTACGGTCCAGGCACGTCCACTACACTACGGATACAATGCCCCGTCCAATTCCATATTCCCATCCCGCCTTTCATTTTCTGGCGCCAAGGGGGAACAAGAGTAAAAAACGCCATCGCCAGATACGGAATAGTCTTGGGAAAGGGGTATGTGACTGGCGAGGTGAGCACGGCCGGATGCACCACCCATCCTCAAAGGAGCCAATTAGAGCCGCAGCCACCGGGCTGGGGCCTTCGCAAAAGCAGCAAAACCCAAGCACAAGACCCAGCAGAAGACTCAAGAGTCGAGGTTCCCAAGAGAGAGGAGCCAGGCGAGGGGGACAAGACAGGCACAGTCACCCGTTCCCAAGATTCGCTAGTCACCCATACTGTGGCAGACGAGGGGAGGAGAGCCCCTCAAAAGACTGTACTGATCCACGGTGCCACGGGTCCTTCGCCCCCCCCCCCCTCCGTCCGTTCAGCAGCTGATGGGTGGGTGAAAGATGGATGTGGCAGCGTTCAATCTTGTTGGTTGCGTCGAGGCTTCACAGTGTCTGATTCTGAGTCTGTCCACGGGGCAGCTTAATTGTGCCGTTTTTTCTGCCCATACCTCGCAACTTGAACTCAGTATACGTCGCTGCGTCTCGTATGGTCCCTGTCGCCTTTTTCGCTAGGTACAGAGTACGGAGTACTGCTGCTGTTTTTTCTGCTTTGCTTCTCCCAGGCTGATGCTGTGTGCTGATGGCGGGGGTGAGAGAGAGAGAGAGACAAAGCTGAGCGTGAGCGTGCTGACATAAGGTGATGGGAGTCGGGAGAGAGAAAGTCTTGCTGCTTTCCTCACCCACCCTCTATCTCCACATTTTCCCTTGCCCTCCGCCTTTCTAACTGGTGCATCTTCCCTCCAGAGTTCCACACACCCCAGACTCGCGCTGTTCACAGTGTTCTCTGTGCCCCAGGGCGCCCCCCCTTCTCTGCCTCGCCCCCGTTCTCTCTGTCCCAGACCTCCCAGACTCCCACTGTGCCACTGTGCCACTGTGGTGGGCGTATGTACGGTACGCAGTAGGGTACCTTAGGTGGGCGGTGATGGCTTTTTGGTGGCTCCTTCTTCCGAACTGGACTGGACTGACTAGCCCAGAGTACCCGGGACCCGACTGCCCGACATTTCGTGCTTCTTACCTTCGCCTGTCTCCCTGCTTCCTTCTCCACACCCCATCTGCCTGTCCTGTCCCATTCCATCCTATCCATCCATCGTTACCCACACTTCGTCGATTCACCACTCTTCACTCGCCCGCCGTCGCCGTCCCCGTCGCCCGTCACTTCACTCAAATGGTCGCCGGCCCATTTCCACCTCGATTCTCGACGACCCTCGAGAGTTTCGCCCTCTCATAGTACAACGCTTCCATTCTGGATTGCTCGAGCCGAAACCCCCCTTCACCATGGCGATAGCCATGGGCTGGCAGAAGCCCGACAATGTCGCCGGCTCGTCGGCCCCGGCCATCATGGTCGGTCTGTTCGTCGCCTCGGGCGGATTGCTCTTTGGCTACGACACTGGGTAAGCACACACAAACAAACACCCACAACGCGGCAATACGATCGAGCACTGCCCTCAACGACAGACGAACAAGAGAAGGAAAAGGACGCGATGGCGCTGGTGCTCATATTCGTGTGTTCGTGGGGAAATTCTTCCGAGACTTGGACGCTGATTCGTGACGGACTGTAGAACGATTAACGGTATTCTCTCCATGACGGCCTTCCGACGAGACTTTTCCACCGGCTATACCGAAAACCTGAAGCCTGCTATTTCACCCGCCGAATCCTCCATCATCGTCGCAATTCTGAGTGCCGGAACAGTCCTCGGTGCTCTCCTCGCCGCGCCCATCGGCGATAGTTGGGGCCGTCGCATTTCGCTCATCTTATCCGCCGGCGTCTTCAGCTTCGGCGGTATTTTCCAAGTCTGCGCGCACGACATCCCAATGCTTTTGGTTGGAAGGTATGCTTAAAGGGCTGGTTGTGTCGGATCATCGCGCAACGCGTCGCTGACCAAACGCACAGGTTTTTTGCTGGTGTCGGCGTAGGATCTATCTCAGTGCTCGTACCAGTCTATCAGTCAGAAATGGCCCCAAAGTGGATTCGAGGTACCCTCGTTTGTGCCTACCAGCTATCCATCACGATTGGTTTACTATCCGCGTCCTTTGTCAACATCTTGACCGAGAGGCTGGACTCGGGCGCCGCCTACCGCATCCCGCTTGGCCTTCAACTTGTGTGGGCCGTCGTCTTAACCCTCGGTCTCCTGGTCCTCCCCGAAACACCACGCTTTCTTGTCAAGAAGGGCAAGCCAGAGGCCGCGGGTCTATCACTCAGTCGCCTCCGTCGTCTCGATATTACCCATCCCGCCCTACTCGACGAGCTCCAGGAAATTGTGGCAAACCACGAGTATGAACTCACACTTGGACCAGACTCCTACAAGGAAATCTTTTATGGGTCCCCCCATCTTGGTCGAAGAACTCTCACTGGATGCTGCCTTCAAATGCTGCAACAACTAACGGGTATCAACTTCATCATGTACTACAGCACGTCCTTCTTCGATGGCGCCAAAGTTGAGAATCCTTACGTAAAAGCTCTCATCATCAACATTATCAATGTCGTTGGAACAGTTCCGGGCCTCCTGGTCATCGAATCCTGGGGCCGTCGCAAGTTGCTCATGGTCGGTGCCATCGGCATGGCAGTCTGTCAACTCCTCATCGCCTCCTTCTCCACGGCCGCCGGAGAAAACCTACAGCAGGCCGCGCAAACCATTCTCATCGTTTTCTGCGCCATCAACATATTCTTCTTTGCAGCATCATGGGGCCCTGTGTGCTGGGTTATTACGTCCGAGATTTACCCTTTAAAGATTCGTGCAAAGGCTGCCTCGATTTCGACCGCTTCCAATTGGCTCTTGAACTTCGGCATCGCATACGGCACTCCTTTCATGGTTGGTCAAGGGCCCGGCTACGCCGACATTGGTCCCAAGATCTTCTTCCTCTGGGGTGCCTTTTGTATTCTGGCGGTTCTATTTGTGTGGTGTATGGTCTTCGAGACAAGCAAGATCAGTCTTGAGCAGATTGATGAGATGTACGAACGTGTCGACTACGCTTGGAACAGCACCAGGTTCGAACCCAGCTGGAGTTTCCAACAGATTCTGGATGAAGGATGGTCCCCTAGTGGTCAACCCCCACCGGAACACGAATTGCAACAAACACAGACAAATTCCACTTCACAAACGACGCAAACCTCACAAACAAACTCAAATTCAGCAACATCAACAAACACCGGCGCGACTGCGAGCTCGACGGAAGCGGAAGCAAAGATGTTATCCCAGATGGGTAATGTGGACTTCAGTTATTGATCATTTATACCCATCTTCCACTTTATATCTGATGTTACTATTACCACTCTTTTTCTTTCCTTGTCATTTCAAATCATATCCCGGATAGCAGCGTCGGAGTTTACAATGTTTGGAGTTTATGGGGGGGTTCATTGGCCATAGCCACCGACGGGCGGTTGGTTCTGGGGGTTCATTCTGGCGGAAACGGGTCTTGCCACTATATTGCAGCGCAGCGGTCGTTTGGACAAAGCGAGTAAAGATATCACGGTCAATGTCGACGAGAATATCCCATTATGGTTTGACGAAGGAGTCAGCTTTCATGGCGTAAGGGAGTCGATGATGTATCAAACCCACCTCTTTGGGCATAACACCTTAGTATGACGGAGCGGTGGGAACAAGGCCGGTTTCATCCGGTCTAGAAGATAGGCAGGGGCAAGGCAGCTCTTTTGTCATCTATCAATTTGAGTCAAATCAGTCCATCACTGTTCAATGACACTTGACTGCTTTTCATGAGACTTGTGACTGGTGACCTGTGACTCGGTACGACTTTGAGACACCAAGACAAACATGTTTCGGAAGATAGCTTTGGGTCCGAAGTAGAAAGAGTGTCCCGGTACTTTGGCCGTGTCTATTAAATGCTTCACAGTAAGTTATCAATATCTGGTTACTGATATAGTTGACTTGGTTCTCTCTTACAGATCCATATGCTAAAGTCGACTTTCGGGCCGTCATGCCGGAAACAAGTGCACTGCCCTGCTCAGCAGAGTTAAGCCCGAGTCGAACATGTAGCACTTGGCCCAGACAGAAGAAGCGTCCACAGCATGTATTCAAGCATCAACATCCACGTTGACTGCTGTAAGAAGCATAGTCCAAGGCTCCTCCGATGGCTTCACTCTGAGTTAGTGAACTGCTGCTCTATATTTCGTGCACAATGTGAATATGGGTCCTATTCTTTAGATTGAAGGGAGCCTTTGCGGTGCTGATTGAAAGCGATCGGACTGCATAGCGAAGGTTAACACATTCACTGATTTGTCAGTCTGTCTTGTGACGTTGAAGGAAGAAAACTCCGAGTATATTTTTGTATTGTCTCCTCACCTCTGACAGACTGTGGCTCTCAGAGAGCAAGATGTGCTACCAGCCCAGTAGAGTGAGAGAGACAACCCAATATCGACCACCAAAACTTTACCCCCCCCTGAAAGCATGAAACAGAAAGAAATGATACCAGACCTGCAAAGATGGACCTTTTTCAACGCCTCGACGAGGACATATCAAACCTCATTATCGAACATGGTTTCCTCAACCTCGACGCGTTGCGCTTCGCAACAGAACGCGAGGTCGAGCGTGCTGCGGTAAGGGCGCTCGAGATGGCTACCCCTGACCTGCAGCTCGCTATTGCCATGAGACAGAGTGTCATAGGAATCGAAGGCGATAACATCATCAACGACGATGAGAATGATGCCGACGATAATAATGGCAATAATAACGCCGCTAACGTTGTCAACAATGACGATACTGGAGGTTATGTCGGCCGGGAAGAACGCAACCGCCTCCTCACAGACTCGCGAAACAACAGCGCAGAAACCTCAGACGCAGAAGACAACAGCAATAACAACAATAACGACGACGACAGAACGGAATGCGTCGTCTGCTTCACAGCAAGACAGCCTCTCCACCGCCTCCCCTGCGGCTGCCGAATGTGTCCCCGCTGCCTCCGGCGCTGTCTCCGCGCGGGTTTACGTCCAGGAGGCTGGCCGCCACGGTGTTGCCAGCCTCTGGCACCGGATAACGTCGAGCAGGCCGCCGGCGCAGAACGGCCTCGGTTGGTGAGGCTGTATCGGCAGGTCCGGGTTGAGGAGGAGACGCCGGGTGAGGAGAGGGTGTATTGTGCTAGGCCGGAGTGTGCTGCGTTCATACCGGCTGCTGATGGTGCTGCTGGTGACGACGCGATGTTTTGTCCTGCGTGTGGGCAAGGTACGTGTCGGCAGTGTCGGAGACCACTTCATCCGGGACAGCTGTGTGGTACCGAGGCCGAGGATGCAGCGTTGATGGACGTCATGGACGAGCTTCATCTGTCGCCTTGTCCTAGTTGTGGGAGGATTATTGAACGTGCGGGCGGGTGTACGCACATGACGTGAGTTTTTGAGCCCCCCTTTTCTTTTCTTTCCTCCCCTCCTATCCTAGAAAGCAAAGTGAAGTAAGGAAGTTTCGGGAGTAGAACTGATCAGAGGACTTGTAGGTGCGTATGCGGCCAAGAGTTCTGCTTCTCGTGCGGCGGGATATGGAGTAGAGGCTGTGTGCAAAACTGCAGAAGTATGGGGTTTTGGGGCCGTGTGAATATGAGGAATCGGAGGACGACATATCGGCAGGGTCAACTTGGGGAAGATGGTCGAATTGATGTTCCCACGCCAGTACTTCAGCATCCTCCTTTTCCTCCTCCTCCGCCGCCGCCGCCTCCTCCGCCTCAAGTTCAACCGCAAGTTCCACCACAAGCTCAACCCTTTCCACAAGCAAACCTCGATGGTTTGTGGGATCCTTTTCCTGCAGGTGAGTGACTCCTCTTTCACGCCCAGTCATAAGACAGAAACGTGCCATTTTTATAAAGGTGGGCACAATTTCCAGCTAGGGATCCAGACCGTGGTTGTGCCATTTCCTCTTCCGCCAGTACAGTTCTTGATCGATCCCGGCCTTATCACTGCCGCTTCTACGCCTGTGTTTTCCAACGTTATCTGTGGAACAGCAGGATACTTACTTGGCGTCCGTAGGAATTGTCCAGCCACAAGTGCAAGATTTCCAGCTCGCAGGGGAGATACCATTTATAGATCAACGCAACGTATACGACATGGACCGAGAGGCTCGTATTCGACAGGGCCGGGGACGCTTTAGCATCATCATGTACTACCCAGACGGCAGAAACACAGAGGTACGTTATAATCGACACACTGCTTCCCATAGTTTGAATCTCCACTGACAAGTACTCATTCCCACAATCCAGCCAGAAACCCGAGAGTGGCGCCCTGAACCCCGCGCCAATAGACGCCGACCACCTCCCCTCGCGCGTCCGGGCGAGAGGGCGAGAGCACCGCGGGCCTGGCCCGTATTCGCGATTCACGCTGAGGACCCCCTGTGCAGCCACCACCTGCCGACGTCGTGGGAGGTGGAGGACATGAATAACCGCGTCCAGGCGCCGGCGTGCACGTTTTGCCGGTCGAGGGCGCACGCCGTCTACTTTCGGTGCCGGACGTGCGGGATCGTGGCGTGTAGTATGCACAATAGCGTCCGGTTGGGGTTGACGTGGGCGCAGGCGGTGAGGGTGCGGAATGGGTTGAGGAATCGGGTTTGGATTGAGCCGGCGGGGACTAGGAGAGATGAGAATAGGAGAGACGAGAATCGGAGAGGTGAGTTTGATGGTTCCCTGACCAGTTTGGCGTTGGTGTTTGCCGTAGTTTTGCTTCTGACTTTATGAATAGGTTGGTTTCGACAGGCGTTTGGGAGAAGATGATGCGGATGGGTGTGTCCGTAGTGCGGGTGGAATACTTTGCTTCTCGATGTGTCTGGAGCGAGAGGAAAGAAACAGGGGCTGGGTATAAATCAAGAGGGAAAGACTGGGGAAGTAATTGATCGATCAAATTTCGATTCAAAGAAACTAGACTTTATTGAATCCAGGCGCTTAGAAGTTAAAACCTATGTGAGTGATCTGGGCTGCTCATTGCTATAGTCATCCTCTCGGTTTCTAAGCCATCTTGATTCCTACGAGAACCTGCAAAGTATGATGGCATAGATTGCTCCAACTATTTTGTAATTGAGGAGGAATTCCTTATAAACTAATACGAGTTTCGTGACCTGATGGATTTATAGAAGATGACGCCAAGGGTCTGGTGAACGGGAAGACAGGAAGTTCAAGAAGTTACATAATCGGCGCCGACCTTGAGGATGAAGCGGCCCCACTACTCCGTGCATGCGAGGCACTTAGACAGGGGCAGGACGGACAGGGCCAATTCTAGGTTTCCACTAGAGCCAACCTGGGGAAATGGCAATTCTGCCTCTTGCAACACCACAACTCCACTGTCGCAACATTGATAGCAGAGGCCAGGCTGATCGGGCTTCTCGCCCAAGATGTCTCTATCCTCAGACGAAGAAGAAGAGCTCCTCTTCGACAACCAATCCTTCGCCTCCGAGTCCAGCGACGACGGCGAAGAGCTACCGGCCCCGCGACCCCTGCATCACAACTTAAACTACTTTGCGCCCCCCTTCTACGGTCGCCCGCCAACCCCTCTACCCCCTTCGCCGTCACTGACATCGCTCCTCCGCCCGTCGCGACCGACGACTCCTGATGCCTCGGACGACGACTTCGAGCCCGTGCCACGCGCGTCGCCGCAGGTGCCGACCTACGAGTACTACGGCTTCGTGCTGTACCTCTTCTCAACGTTGACCTTCCTCGTTTACCTGCTCTGGTCCTACCTGCCCTCGCCTTTCCTCCACGCGCTGGGCATCTACTATTATCCAAACCGCTGGTGGTCGCTCGCGATCCCGGCCTTCCTCACGATGCTGGGGGTCTATATTTACATCGCGCTCGCGGCGTACAATACGGAGATTCTGACGCTGCCGCTGAGCTCAATTGAGACGGTGGTGGATGATGCCTCTAAGATTGGGGTCATTGACAGCAAGGGGCGGCTGCGGGATGACCCGAAGAAGAGGTCTAGGAATAAGAGAGACCACAGGTTGCCGGGGGGAGGTTACGACTGGAAGAATATATGGAACGAGGGGACGGATGCTGTCATGGACATCCCGTTAGCAGGTGCGTGTGAAGTTCTCTATGGAGAAGGCCGAGACTTCGAGTCAGAGGACGAATATATCGTGACATGAAGCCCAAATTCACAACTAATTGAAAACGGATACAACCAAAACGAAAATGAGATACCCATTGGCGCGCGAGATCCGTAGTTCAATCGTATTTCAAAATGCCAAAGTGAATGACATAGCCTTTCTATTGAGGCTCCGCTCTTTAGACCCCGTGCTCAAGTGCTGTATGGTGGGATGTGACGATTCTGCAATTTGATGGTAGCCATCCCTGCTCGGTCAATACCTCTCACCGAGAGCTCGTACAGTGTGTCGCGCTATGACACAGTGGGGTGTGGCTGGAATCTCTCAGCCTTGCACCTTCCTCCAACCACCGCGCCAAATTTTGACCAGACGCGACTTTCAATCGACCGAAGCATCGCAACAACCCACCCCACTGCCCTCGAACCATCTCAATTATCTCGGTGGATTGTCGCTTCACACGTCGAATTGAAATCATGTCCCAACAACCGCTGTCCTCGGCCATTCAGCCGACCGACATCTACGGAGGAGGTAAATGCTTACTTCCCGCTGTACTCTACGCGAGGCCCAATCTAACCATCGCGAACAGACGAGGTCTCCGCTCTGGTCCTCGACCCAGGCTACTGCAGCACCCGCGCAGGATTCGCTGGCGAGGATGTCCCCAAGTCCGTCTTCCCGTCCTTCTACGGCCGCGTTGGTTCCTCCGATACCCCGACAACCGTCTTCGGCGACGAGTGCCTGATCCCCCGGGCCGACCTTGAGGTCCGCAACTACATGACGCGCGACAGTGTTGTCGAAGACTGGGATGTCGCCAACAAGCTTTGGGAGCACATGCTCATCACACGCCTCCAGCCCGGACGCCCGACCCATCCGTCCAAGAACGGCCTGAACGATGACCCCAAGGAGGAAGTCGAGGGAGGTGAGGCCAACGGCGACGTCGACGTGGCCATGGAGGACATTGAGTCGCAAGAGAAGGCCCTGCAAGAGAACCCGCTCCTGATGACCGAGGCGCCGTGGAACTCTGCAAAGTCTAGAGAGAAGGCCATCGAGATTATCATGGAGAACTGGGGCTGCCCTGCGTTTTGGCTCAGCAGAACGCCCGTCCTGGCTGCGTTTGCTGCTGGCAAGGCGAGTGCCCTAGTTATTGATGTCGGCGGCTCCAACACTTCGGTCACGGCCATCCACGACGGCATGGTCCTGAAGCGATCCATCCAGAAGTCTCCCGTTGGTGGCCTGTGGCTGTCCTCCCAGATTCGCAGCCTGTGGGAGACCTCAGAGCCCAAGATCGAGCCCGTTCCTACATACATGGTCGAGAGTAAGACTCCTGTCGACGCAGGCGCTCCTGCTCAGTTCAAGGAACGCAAGTTCGACTTCTCCATCACCGACTCATTCCGCGCCTACGAGGACGACCGTCTCCTTACGGAATTCAAGGAGTCGGTAGTCGAGACCTGGCGCGGACCCGGCAAGTACGCCGTGCCGCAAAACGAGGAGTTCGCCAAGACGCAACCCGGCCGCGTGTTCGAGTTCCCCAACGGCGCAAACCAGATGTGGCGCGAGCAGCGGTACAAGGTCTCCGAGGGCATGTGGGACGAGACCGCAGCGTTCCCGACCACCAACGAGGAGTTCCGCCTGAACAAGTCGCAGACGATCCCCGAGCTCATTCGCGCCGCCCTGAATGCTGTTGACGTCGACCTGCGCCCCAACCTCCTCGGCAACATTGTCGTCACTGGCAGCACTAGCTTGCTCAACGGCTTCAACGACCGTCTGAACAATGAGCTTACGGCCATGTACCCCGGCCTTAAGATCAAGATCCACGCGGCTGGTCTCTCCAGCGAGCGTCGCTTCGGCGCCTGGATCGGTGGCAGCATCCTGGCCAGCCTGGGTACCTTCCACCAGATGTGGATTTCGCGCAAGGAGTACGAAGAGAACGGTGTTAGCATCGTGGAGAAGCGTTGCAAGTGATTGCCGTCATTCAAGGGCCCGTGGGGGATCAAAGTCAGGATAGGGGTAGCAGGAGTATGGCGGGAGGGTCATCGTTACTCGTTACTAAGAAAAGGGCGTATGGAGTTTGCACAAAAGGCTTTTTTCTAACTACCAGAGGGAGGAGACGGTGGGCGTCAAAAGACTACCTCGCATTAAGACCGTCTTGGAAGGATGCTATCTGTACGCGCATGCAATCTTTTCCTTCACCGGAGATACATAGATTGTGAAAATACAAAAAACGTATCAAACGAATGTTGAATGCTGTGAATCTTGGCAGACCATGGTCACCCTGCAACGATTTGGACATGTACGTACCTGAATACATGTATTGAGGCGACGGGCCTGCGGTTCTACGCGTATAGATTACGGAGGTGCGATCATTGTAGCAGATCCTGTCTTGCATTGCGCGAGATGATCGGAGCGGGTCGATCCTCAGCCAGCCACTCGCAATTAAGGCTGGAGTAGACAATGGCCGAGTAGGTAGATTGAACGTGGCTTTTTGTCCTGCTCATTGGTAGAGCATATTTGGTTCTGCGCTATGCCGTATTAGTGAAAGAGCGAGTCCGGGGAAATGCGGTTCAGAAAAGCGATTGATGTGGAGATGGATGTCTTGAAAGGCCAGAAGGGTGGCCGCCTGCCCAAAGTTCCCTTGTTTGCCAAAGATCTGGAGACTCTGGAAAAGAACAAATTGCGATTCCTTGATTGATATCTCGGGTATAGGAGATGACTGCAACTCGAATATGAAGTAGGCATGTCAACATACCTTACCTAGGTATATGTATTAAGCAGTCCAGGAATCCGATTCACCTTGAGGAAGGTAGACCTCAAGAGACGGAATTGGTTCTTTCCTTCCGTGTAAGTGACCACGACCCACCCTTGCTCTCCTATCTACCTAGGACCGTCCCATGCATCAACACCCTCGGGCTGTCTCCCTCAGCCAGGCACCTTCTTGAGCAAATAATTTCTCCTTTCCGCTTCCAGATTCTTCACAACTGACTTACCGCGGTGATCAGCTTCTTACCTTCTCACACAACTTACCACCACATCCATCCCTCCATCCATCAAACGCCTTTACGAACACAGCAAGCACAATTTGCCATATCATCACCCACGAGCAGACTTTTCTCACTTCACTTTACCGAAATATCAATATATCCGCCTTGGTGCAACTTTGTGCCCAGAAGGCAAACCCACCCTCGGCCGCTATCGAATTTAGGTATGCCATGACAGAAACAAAACCCCATTGCCGATGGCCGGCTGGGGTAGAACGGGCAGGCACGGGCCACTGGCCATTGCTGCCTTCTTCGAAGCAAAGTAATTGGCTGACGACTAACGCCTCAGGCACCCCTGCAGAAATCGCACCTGAGTCACCCAAATTTCTGCGGCTCTACGTGAACTTTCCCTCCTGCTTCCCCAGAGCCGACCGACGCGTCGCCCCATCGACTTCACGAGCTCCGAACGAACGAACGCTGACCCTGACGCATCGGAAAACACAACGCGAGGCATGGTATAGAATCGAAACAGGTCGGCGCACAATATCGGAGGTGCCAGAGGGTGGATATTTGTGCAAAGCTTCGACAACATGGGCGCCGACACTCCCAAATCCCCTCCTCGCAGTGAGGAGGCGCAGAAGGAGCAGGATGCTCAGGACGAAGAGCAAATTGAGCGGACTCTCGCGACGCTCCAGAATGGCGGAGAGCTGGGCATCACTATTGATGATACCCCTTTCGACCAGTCTGGGAAGGCTGACGATGCCCAAGACTTCGAGGATATTAGCGACGACGATCTTCCGGACGAGGAGGAAGGCGAAGGCAATGTTGCCACTTCCATGTCCGTTCCAGGTCTGACAGATGACGGAGGTACGAGCAACGACACCGACGACTTGTTTGGCGATGGGCCATCTTCTCCGATCGAAGTCCCTGGTCCGCCATCACCAGCCCCTCATGTTCACGATCCCGACGACGCCGATCCATCACAATACCGCGACATCAACTTTGATCCCGAACCTGGCTACGAAGCTGCCAACCAAGATCCTGAGATTCCTGCTCCAGCTGAGACTGCTGAAGATT